CTTGAGGTTTTTGCTTCCTCAAGTCTCAAGATAGCTTCTCTGTTGCAATAATTACCAATGACTCTCCCTCAGCATGAGAAATGACAGGACCAAATACCTTTGTGCTGAAGATGGAGAAAGAGAAGATAGTTGGCTTCTCTCCATTTATATAGAGAATCTTCATTGCAACAAAAGCAGTAACACACACATAATGTATGTATGTATGTATCTTCACACACACAATGTATGTATCTTGAGAAGAAGGAGGCAATGCTGGCATGTGGAGGGTAACCAACAGTCAGTTAGACATAAGTTCCACTGAATAGGAGAAAATTCATGCATGATACTGTAAATCTAGCGAACTACCTGTCTGGAGAGGTCATGGACCCTAAAGGAGAACACACTAATGCCACTTACCTAAATCAGTATATTTTCAAACTGCATTCTAAATGTTCATCCCTATACTTGTAGGTAGAAGCAGCTCTCACCTTTTACAGAAATCCACAACTTGTCAAACTGCAGAAAACAGTTACGCCTGGGGTGTCCAACCTTGGTTGACACCATTTACTCCACAATCTGTACCTGAGGCTCAGAGACTATCTCAGATGAGAGGATGGGGAGACTGTAAGGGCCAGGGCACTAGGATGCCTGCTGTAAGGGAGTGTCTGCTCCATATGACAGGGAACATCCATCTGTGAAGTCTCCATAATAAGGCCACTTAAACAAGACAAGCAAAAGGATAAATCAGATTACATGCCACTGCGAATGGGGGACATCTCACAAGGCCCTACCCCTCGCTGCAGAGCTATAGGTAGCTAAGGGCTGCTGAGAAAGAATTAGTTTTCTCTAGGGATGAGCCCCCTGATAGGTTATCTATTTCCAAATGGTTAGCTCTAAATACATACATATGAGCAACACTAAATAGACTCAGCAGGTTGTATTTATAAATGTGTGTGCATATGTGTGTGTCCCAATAATAACTAAAGAAATAGTCATGAATTCGAGACAGATGGATACAGGAGGAGGTGGGGGGGGGTGGAAATGATGTGGATATGGTATTTATGCATGAAATTTCAAAGAAACCACACAATTGAAATTAAGAAAAAAATATTTGGAAGGAAAAAGTCTTCTACCACAATACGTTAGTGATCACCAGATTGATGTAAATGTGTATGCTTTGCACAATCAGCAAGTTTGATATCAAGAAACAGGGATCAGAGGCTGGTATTTACAGTGACCAAATCGACTACTTAGTCTTGAATGCTATGATGCTATTTGAGAGATGACTGGCAAGGCCATGGATGAATTCACTTCTGCTTTTTTTTTTTTTTTTTCCGAAATAGGATTTTTCTGTGTAACAGCCCTGGCTGTCCTAGAACTAGCTCTTGTAAACCAGGCTGACCTCAAACTCACAAAAATCTGCCTGTCTTTGCCTCCTAAATTCTGTGATTAAAGGCGTGTGCCACTACTGTCCGGCTACCACTAGAAAATTTTGAGATAATCTGCCACCAAAGAACTCAACATGCTTATGTAGAATCACGTACTTCAAGACCTCTGAGTTAAACTCCGATTCACTATTTCTCAATCATTTTTTCATTATTACTCACCCAAGTAAAGTTCTAAACAGTTTTTCATAATATTTCTACCCTTATTAAATTTAAAATTGCCTTAACCTGCATGCCTTTTAACACACAGATTGATGTACTAGTTACGTTTGTAAATTAGTTATTACAGTAAAAGCTAATGTTTTTCACTTGCCTGGGATCAATATTAATCCTACTGAGAACTTGAACTCTAGACCTTATTCAATAACTTATCAAATATTGAAATATGCACTTCCTAGCTACTTATGTGTATTTCTTTTGTTTGATAACTAAGAAACAGAAATAAAAATTTTGAAGAGAGAGAATTGAGGCAACTGGAAGTTTGAGGTCAGCCTTGAACTACATAATGAGTTTAAGAATAGCCTAGCACTCAGGTCACCTTGTGTCAAATTGTTCATGAACTATTTCAAGTAGAATCAAACCCAAGCCTGAAATATTAGAGACAAATTTGGCAGATGTTAAAATGGACATCCTCAAAACCATAATGCACTGATAAAAGAATTGGAGATGCCATCTAAGTAGGTGGCTCAGCATTCTCATGAATGGAAGAACTTCCCTGTCACCACCACAGCTGTGTTTCCCCAAACTGATTATCGAGTCAATAGGACTCCAACACTCCAGCAAGTTTTTCCATCTATAAATTTTTGTATATATTCTAAAAATCATATAGAAAAGTAAAAAGAATCTAGAATTGACAAAGATGTTTTGTAAGAGAATGAGCAAATTTGGGCCTTCTAGTACTTAATTTTAAGATTTGCTACAGAGTTACAGGATTTGAGACAACACAGTGGGTAGGTAAGGAGGGGCACATGGCACGGTCAACTTCTTTCTTGCTACAGTTTCCAAGATACCTCAACAAGGACATGGAATGTTTATCGGTTCGATTTTCAAGAAATAGCTCTGGATTAATCAACTATTCATATGGAAAAAATGACCTTCACAAGTGTCTTAAACTATATTTAAAAAAAAATCAACTCCCAGTCGGCCATATACCTAATTATAAAATCTATATGTTGATCATAATATGAGCTTGGAGAATATATTTAAGTAAAATAACTAAATGTTTTCAGGAAAGATTAATACAAGTCTAAAAATATTTTAAACATTCTGCAAGAAAACTTTGGTGAAGGCTAGGTTTTGTTTGTGTTCTCCTTTAATGGGTGTTAGACTCTTCAGTCAGCTAAGTCAGCGGGAGATCAATTAGCCTCTTCCTTTCAAATCTTGTTTTTCAGGTCTGTAGGGGCAGGTCCAGAGCAGCCTTCACATTACAACAAACATTCCTGCTTTTGACCTGGACCTTTAAGGACTGTCCAGTTCCCTCTCTGAGGTCGCTAAGCTTAGTGGAATTGTAGTCTCTTCTTGGCTCCCTGTGAGCTCTAGTAGTTTCCGTACAATGAGCTTTCCATGGTTGTCCCTAGAGCTGTGGAACCTCCTCCCACACATGCTCAAGTCATTTCTCAGTAGAGACACCTAGGAATTTCTCAGGTTTGCAGAAGTCTCTGGGTAGCTTTCAAAGCCAATTCTGGGTGCTTCAACTTTGACAAACTCTGATCTCTGCATGTCTGTGTCGTGTGTGTCGTGTGTGTGTGTGTGTGTGTGTGTGTGTGTGTGTGTGTGTGTTTCCAAGAAGACAGTAAGGCTCTGGCTTGTTCCTCTTCCTGCACTGTTACCTAAAAGTTGTCTCCAGGAAGCTAACCAGAAAACGTATAGGGCTTAAAGTGTTTTGTTTTTCTAAGGTCATAATCTCAAATTACCTACTCAGATTACCAATGTCTAAAATCAGTTTTGTAATATTTTTCTAATTATTTATAAGAAGGCAATTATTAGAACCAAGGAAACATAGATTCATAAAGAGAAATGACACATTTAGAGAGTACAAATTCCTAAAAGAAACATAATCAACTGAATAGTTTGCACTAGACAAATAATTAAGCAGAGAAAACATTTATCTAAGCACACACATATTTTCAAGAAGTAAGGCAATCCTACTCAAGGTGTTAAGGTAGAATAATGGTCTTACAAGAAGAACCAAACAGAGTTACTGGGACTGAAAAAGGGCTATCTGGCAGTTTTTGGAATATTGAAGACTAGATTAAAATAAAAGCTTTTCGTGGAAAACATATGGATACCTGATGTATTGTATAACGTTCTAAAATATAAGACTGTATCCATAAATGATGAGTTTATCCTATACTCCTCTCTTCTTCTGAACATATATAGTCAATGTGCAAGCTCAAGCAATGCAAAGCAGACTGCTGACGCTGCCCTGGTCCAGCCGCAGGAACAAAGACTTCAACAGAGCAAGTGCTGAGGACATACAGGCTGAATGAATGGATGGTGAGCCCAGGAACCTTTAACCTGGACTACTGACGTCTTGCCAAACATGACATGGGAAACTGGGTTAGGGGACGATTGGAAAGGTGGCTGGAGATGACGCCTGTGCCACTTCTTACAAAGCCAGTCCCTGAACAACCATGTCCTCAGTGAATCATTAATTTAGGAAATGCATTGGCTCAAAAAAAAAAAAAATTTAGGAAGTAGATTTGTCCTCACCATGGTACCAGGAGGAAAGAACATCACAGCAATGATTCTTCTCATTCAGCTTTTCCAATTTATATTTCCTTGGCAGTCTGAGAAACATTAATTTACAACTAAAATAAAATGGTTCCAAGTTTTAAGAATCCAGGGATTATAACAGAGGCAAACATGAAATTTTCTTTGGTAGAAACAGGTCTCATGAATTAAACTTATCCAAACCCAAGTTTACAGGTTTAAAAAATATGTATATGCCAAATCATCAGGAAGCAAACTTCCTAGGGAGTCAGAGGAACCAGTTCAAAATACATTTAGACCCAAAAGCTTCAGATTTTGGAATTCTCTGAAGCAATGTGTATAGCCACATTCAAAAATAAAAGGTTGGATCAAAAAATGAGCAATAAAAAGATTATGGGGTGTGGTAGTTTGAATGTAATTGGCTCCTATAATGTCGTAGGGGGTGGCACTATTAGGAGGCATGGCTTTGTTGGAGTGGGTATGGCCTTGTTGGAAGAAGTGTGTCACTATGGGGACAGGCTTTGAGGGTTCCTATGATCTGGATATGGCTCAGTGTCTCAGTTGACTTCCTGTTTGCTGCAAGATGTAAAACTCTCAGCTCCTCCAGCACCATATCTGCCTGCATGCCACCATGCTCCCTGCCATGATCATAATGGATTGAACCTCTGAAACTATATGTAAGCCACACCCATTAAACGTTTTCTTTCTAAGAGTTGCCATGGTCATGGTGTCTCTTCACAACAATAAAAACCCCAAGACAGACGTTGGTACCAGGGACTGGTGAATTGCTGTGACAGGCTTGGCCATGCTTTTGTTTGGAGGAATTTGGATCTTTTTTTTTTTTTTGACGGTCCTAAACTGTTTATTGGGTATGAATTGTACAAACATTACGTATATTAGCGGCAACGGTGGAGCTGCAGAGTGTTGCGCCTTCTCCAGGCTGCACGGCGAGAGCCACCAATAGTGTGGTGGAACTTGTGGCCCTTTCCAAGGTCACGGCTCTTGCGGCCTGCAGTTGTCAGCCCACGCATCTCTCTGAGCTTGTGGACCGGTTTGGTGATCCATTGGGTGTCAGGGTTTCTTCTGATAGCTTTATGGAATGGATCGATGAGGATAACCTCAAAAACTTTGTATGTGGAATCTTTGCCAACCCAGTAAGAATTCAGGACTCTCAGAGCCCCACAGTGGCGTCCAGCTCTCTCCTCAGCAGCAGACTGTAGGCTTCGGGCAAACTTTAGCTGGTTCACACCATGATGGACAGGCTTGCCATAGGTCGCACCCTTGGGCACCGGGCGTTTGCGGCCACCACGGCAACCTCGTTGGGCGCCAAAATGAAGGCGTAAGTCACAAACAATACCACACCAGTTTGGAATTATGATTAATAGGGTGGTATTTATTTAAAGGGGAAAAAACTTACAGATCACTGTCCCAGGCAACAGCCCTCTATGCAACCAGGAAGGGAGTCTAGTCGCCAGAGGAGCAGGAAGTGAAGAGAGAGAGGAGAGGGAAGTGGCCGCTTTTTTAAAGGGAGAGAGACCACGCCCCAATGGGCTGGTATCTCAGCAGCTATAGGCTGGAGGAGTGGGAGGACCTCCCGCAACACCTCCCCCTTTTGTTTAAATAAGAGAGTTCTAAACCTACTATGAAATTATATACAATAAGTACAAATATCCTATTCTAACTACCTTAGGTCTTGTATAATAAATAACTTGGCCAAGTCATGAGAGAAAGTAACTACATTTATATAGTCTTCAACTCCATCGAAGATCTGAGAAGGGAAATAATGTTACCTGGGTAATTAGGAAGTTCAGTAAAACAACTTCCAAAACATGCAACAAATCACAGAGACAACTAGCTACCTGGGCAATCACCCAAAGTCACATTAGCAGCGTTGAAGCAACCAACTTTGGCTAAGGCCTAACATAACTGACATACCATTTTCTAAGGCAAGCAACTTTTCAAAACTATCTTACCCTGTCTTGGCAGGATATGACAGTCCTGTTTTATCCATTGATGCACGCTCTGTATCTTTGTCAGCCATTGAGGTATGGGCATTTCTTTGCCCCAAGGCCAGTTCTGCCAAAAAGAAAGGCGCCAGGTGGAGTGTCTTTGGTGCTCAACATTCTCTCGGGAATAGAGTGGTGTTGCCAGGAGCAATTGTGTCTCACTACCACAAAACTCTGAGTTAGATTAAAGGCCATTTTCTACAGCTCTTTGAAGAAGTTGAAGATTATCTATCTATACTGAGTATAATCTCTATATATCTAAAGAACCTGATTAGTCTAAATATAAATGACAAACTTAGATGACTATTAATCTATATAATTCTCAATATCTATCTAACTTAAAGACTAAGAAAATAAACAACTGTGAAACAAATGAGGACAATGACCTCCAAATATAAACAATGTACAAATATACATTGCAGTAGGTAAATATATATCAATACACAAATATTATATAAGTATCTTAATCAGAGGTAGAAATGTACACTGCAATATGGTAAATATATACAATATATATCAATACAATATATGTCAATACTTAAAAAATGTTTTAAACAGAGGTAGAAACATGCATGCATACAATAGTCAATATAATTTAACTTTGTATCAATATACAAGAATCTATACCAATATATTTTTCTAAAAACAGTAACTCACAATTACAAATCTATTATCCCATCATCCCTCTTTTTTTTTTCAAAATGATCCCTGAGCTTATAAAATTCCTCCCCCAACCCTCAATCATATACTAATTATAATCAACCCCTAAATGATGTCCCTAACCCAAGGGCAAACTTTACTGGGAGAGGGGACATCGTCCTCTAGAATTACTTCCAGCTGTCATGGGGGCGATATTCTTTCTGGGGGATCCTGTGAAAGTAAAATGATGGTTAAATTTCAAGATCAATGTCTTTTAAAATTGCAAATAGTCTCTGAGTATTTTGTGCAGGTCTGGCCAAAATGTTGTATAAGATGTGCACCATTTCAACTAACCAAGTTGGAACTGTCTTGTGCAGCTGGTACCCAAAGCAGGTCTTGTAGTAGCGCTATACGTATCATGATGTCATATCAACCAGGTGGAGTTGTTGTTATGGGGCCCCATCTTCTTCCTGGAAACTTCAAATGTCACTTCAGGAAAAACTCATTGTTCATTGTGAAAAACTTAAACATTAATCATATAGACATATATGTATATATTCACTGAAAGGCATGATAGATATATTCAATGAAAAGTATGATAGATATGAAGAAAAGCAAAGATGTTTTCTAAACTAGTATTTCTTTCTGTCCCATATCATGGCTCTTGACAGAAACTCCATAAACTCTGGGTTTTTCTCTTATTAAAAGGCTTGGAATTAGAGAGGGACTGAGCCAGAGTCCAACTTCAAAACCAGCTTTATAAATTTAGAAATATGGTTTATTTTTTATTTATTTATTATGTATACAATATTCTGTCTGTATGCCTGAAGGTCAGAAGAGGGCGCCAGATCTCTTTAAAGATGGTTGTGAGCCACCATGTGGTTGCTGGGAATTGAACTCAGGACCTTTGGAAGAACAGGCAATACTCTTAACCTCTGAGCCATCCCTCCAGATCCCATGGCAACCTTGCTTGGCCTTGTAGCCCAGCGTCCGCGCTTTGTCTGGCCGGGTGGGGCGGGGAGCCTGGTGCAGCACCGACAGCTGGCGGTACTGCCAGCAGCGGACCCTCAGCAGGAAGCGCATCACGTCCGACTGCTTTTTCCGCCACAGCTCCTGGATGTACTTGAAAGCACCCATCTTGGCTCACCTGATGGCCGCCGTCAGAGGAAAGCGGAATTTGGATCTTGGGTTAGGAAAGCAGTACAATGCTTTAAGTGCTGCTTGATGGGCCGTATGAGTAGGAACATGGAAGACAATGGTGCGGACAGTGATTTGAAGTGTGCTGGCTCAAGAGGTGTCCGAGAAGAATTTTAATATGTTGCCTAGGGACCATCTTGCGTATTTTGGTGAAGAATGTGGCTGGTTTTTGTCTTTGTCCAAGGAGTCTGCTTGAGGTTAAAACGAAGCGTTTAGGATTAATTTCATTGGCAGAAGAAATCTCAAACAGCCTAGTATAGACTCTGCCATGTGGTTACTCGGGTAACTTCAGTGAAGATTTATAATGCAAGTTGAGCAGGGTAAATTTAAAAAATGCAAAGTTTAAGGAGAAAAGAGCATCAGAAAGTGGACTTGAGCTAAATTCTGTGTTCAAGGAGTGTTTTATAAACAGATTAAGAAACGAAATAAAGGGAGTGGTGACCCAACTAAATTTCCAACTTGTAAAAAGAAACTAAAGAAAGATTTAGAGCCAGGTGTGGTGCACGCCTTTAATCCAGGCACTGGGAAGGCAGAGACTGGTGGATCTCTGAGTTTGAGGCCAGCCTGGTCTACAGAGCAAGTTTCAGGACAGCCAAGCTTAGGCAATGAAGAACAGAAAACCGGTGACGATGTGATTGAACGAGGGGCCCATGTTCCAGCACTAGTAAGCTGCAGAACTTGGCAGCTCCAGCCACATGGCTCTGGCTTTAGAGTTAAGAATAGAAGAAATGGGTTATGGAATTTGCCTCCATGCCTAAAGAAAGCTGCTGAGGCCAGGCATGTGTCAGGGATGTCTGTGAATGGAGGTAATTGTTTGAGGCTATGAAGTTGAAGCCTGGACTACCTTTGAGAACCCAAGATGTTAAAGATGACAAAGTTGTAGGGTGCCTGTGGAGGAGAGCTGCTAACAGGAAGTGGAACCAGACCAAGAGAATAAAGTGTGTTGCAGTCAACAAAGCTAAATGGAGTTGGAGATCTGAAGAGGAGTTTGTATCAGACATGGAGATGCAGAGTTTGGAGTTTGCCCCATTGGTTTTCCATCTTGCTTTGGTCCTGTATTTCTTTGCTATATTCTCTTCTCTGCGTTTTGGAATGGTAATGTATATCCTGTGCCATTATATGTTGGAAGTATGTGATCTGCTTTTTGATTTTGATTTTTACAGGTGATTACAGTTAAGAGTTTACATGATCAGAGAGTCCAGTTTTATCCCATGCTTTTTCAGTCACAGTCCAGCTGGCCTTGGTGAGCTCCCAATAGATCAGCTCCACTGTCTCAGTGGGTGGGTGCTCCCCTCGTGGTCCCGACTTCTTTGCTCATGTTCTCCTTCCTTCTGCTCCTCATCGGGACCTTGGGAGCTCAGTCCAGTGCTCCAGTGTGGGTCTCTGTCTCTGTGATGAGAACCCAAGGACAATGGCACGGGGTTTTGAACCTACGTAATGTGCTGGCTTTGTGGGAGCCTAGCCAGTTTAGATGTTCACCTTCCTAGAAATGCACGGAGGGGGGAGGACCTAGGACTTACCACAGGGCAGGGAAATCTGACTGCTCTTTGGGCTGGAGAGGGAGGGGGAGAGGAGTGGGGGGAGGGGGAGAAGGGTGGGAGGAGGGGGAGGGAAATGGGAGGCTGGGAGGAGGAGGAAATTTGTTTTTTTTTTTCTCTTTTCTCAATAAAAAAAAAGTTAAAAGAAAAGAGTTTACATGAATCTTTGAAGAGACTGAACTTTGGTCTTTTAAACATTATTGAGATTGTGATAGACTATGGGGACTTTTGAAGTTGGACTAAATGAATTTTACATTATGATAGTTTTATAAATTGTGGGGGTCAGGGAGTAGAATGTGATAGATTAAGTGTAATTGACCCCTATATTCTCATAGGGAGTGACTATTAGGAGGTGTGGTTTTATTGGAGTGGGTATTGCTTTGTTGGAGAAGGATGTGGGGTGGGCTTTGAGGCTTCCTATGCTCAGGATACTGTACAGTGTCTCAGTTGACTTCCTGCTGACTGTAAGATGTAGGACTCTCAGCTACTCCTCCAGCACCATGTCCCCTGCATGCCACGGTGTTCCCTGCCATGATGATAAGAGACTGAACCTCTGAAACTGTAAGTGAGCCACCCCAATTAAATATTTTGCTTGTAAGAGTTGCCGTGCTCATAGAAACCCTAACTAAGACATGGGGCTGAAGAGATGGCTCATCAGTTAAGCGCATTGGCTGCTCTGGCAGCCAGTTTATTTCCCAGCACTCACATGGAGGCTCAAAACTATCTGTAATTCAACTTCTAAAGGATACCATGCCCTCTTCTGGCCTATGTGGGGACTAGGCAAAAATACAGTGCAATTACATGCCTCTAGACAGAACACTCACACATGTAAAAGTAAAATAAGTAAAATTTAAAAATAGATTATTATATAGTTAGCACTGTGAAAGAAAGAAATGAAGACTCTTAAATAGGAAGGCAAAGATTTCCAAACATTGTATGATATTTCCAACCAAACCATTTTTTCAAATAAGGATAAGATAAAAATGTTCTCAACCATACAAGTCTTCACAATTAAAAAAAAAGATTTATTATTCTCTCTCTCTCTCTCTCTCTCTCTCTCTCTCTCTGTGTGTGTGTGTGTGTGTGTGTGTGTGTGTGTGTGTGTATGTGTGTGTGTATGGATGTGAGTGCAGTCACCTAGGAATTCAGAGGAGGATGTTAGATCTCCTGGAGCTGGAGCTACAGGTGCTTGTGAACTGTCTAACATGGATATGAGTGCTGGACTGAACCCAGGTTCTCTGCAAGAGCAGAATATGCTCTTAACCCCTGAGTCATATCTCCAGCCCCATCCTTGTAATTTTAACATGAAATGAAAATATTCTGCAAAGAAGAGCCCTAGCAAAAAGAAAAGAAAAATTAAAAAAATAGAAAGGAAAGAAACCCAGAAGAAAGCAATGAGACGTGGGAAGGAAGGAAAAGTGAACAACTTTGATACGTGGTCCAATAGGCAGCACGGAAGAAAGAAAGGACAGAAGGAAGGCTGGCTAGACTGATCACATAACCAAAAGGTCAGGTTATGGAAAAATGTCATCAAGAAACAAAAGGGTTAAATAAATTAAATTGTATAGACACAAATGCAACATAGGTAAACAACTTCTAAAAACAATAATAAACACAAACAACACAAATTTTAAATGGGCAGATGATCTAGACATTTTATTAAGAAAAGGCATATATGTCCAATATGCCCACAAAGAGCTTCTTGCTATCATGAGTTATCAAGGAAATTCAGATAAAAATAAAATTAAGATATTCTAATATATCCTTATATCCTGAAGAAAATATTCAGGCATTTCTGGTACCAGCAACAGTAGACAAATTCTCTGAGAATTTATTTTACAGCGTGTTGTAAAGTTAGAAACACACTCTGCCAATGAGCCAGTGGTCCCACAGCTGTCTCTTTTCCCAAAGGTCGTAAAAGGCCATGTCTGCATGAAGACTCAGGCACCAACGTTTGTAATAGCCAAGCAGGGACCCCAGCCCACGTGTGTCTGATTAAAGTATCTTTATCCAGGGCAACACAGCTGTGAAATAAAGACAGTGATGACACACAGTCTGTACCTGCAAAGAGAGGGACCACAGGGAGGCAGGCATGAATGAAGGGAGGGGGGACAAACAAGTGCAAGGAACTGAGGAGGGAGGAAAGACAGGAAGGAAGGGAGGAGCACTGGAGATAGGGAGCGGGTGAGGAAAGCAGAAGAGAGAAAAAGGATGAACTGGCTGCTCCCTGTCTCTAGCCTGTTGCTTCTCTCTGATTGTCCTGTCCCTAGAAGTGCATCGTGAGCTCTTGGGAGGGAGGAACTTGTGTTTAATAAGTCCTTGCACCTGTCAGCGGGCAGACCCGATGGCTGGCTAGTAGGTTCACAGGCCTTGAGAGGCTACCTCAGATGCCAGGTGTGGCTCGTGAAGCCCAGGCCTCTTTAACTGGGGTTCTGGGGAAGAAAATCCGAGGAGCAGTTTATTGGAAACACTTTAAAGGCTGGGGCCTCTGTGATTTCAGCCAGCAGCGGGGTGCCCCACAGGTGGCAGGTGGCCTTTTAATGACCAGGCAAAGCCTCCAGAGGGTCTCTGTTAGCCCCACTATAGCACTGTGTTGATTTTAAGTTCCAAGTGTGACCATAGCTACCTTGGGACTCAGGAGCCGCCACCTGACTCTCACCTCCAAGGTCACCTCTAGAAACACTAGTTTCCAAAGCCTGGCACCTCCGTGGTCTCATTCTGGACACGTGAATTAGTTCCCCCTCCTCCACCCCCACCACCTACTTCTGCTCCAATCAGCCCCACAGTCCTCAGGGCCCCCCTTTATGCTGTGGGCTCAGCCCTAGGACACAGAGTACTTGCAATGTGGTCCTTCCACTAAAGATCTCAAGTCCAGAGTAGAAGACAGAACCACACAGAATTTTGAGCTGAGGAAGCAAAAGCTAAATAAGCCTCAGGGCTCAGAAGCCAGCACTGAGTCCATGGGGGATTTTTAGAGATGATGCCTGAACTGACTTTGAAGCTCACAGAATTTTCAACTCCATTATTGTGCTAAATTTGACTGGGCTTTATTAAAAGGTGCCCGAGGCTGCAGTGGTGAGGGCCATCAAGGGCAAGGAGTAATTCCAGAAGTCCAGCTATGAGTTGACTGCTATGTGTGATTTTCACAGTCTTTAGTGGTAGAGCAGAGTAGTTTTAGGGACACTCCGGACTTTCAAGCTAAGCACAGCTGAGCTACAAGGAGCCACAGGACTAAAGACCTGGGTTCAAAATCTGGGGCCACTTGTTCACAGTTCAGGGAAACCTAACAAATTATTCAGCCCCTCTCAAAAGTGGGTTTCCACTTCTAAAAATGGTTGATAATCTCTCCCAAGAGAGGGTTATACAGATCAACGTTCCCCAGTGCCTGTCTCCAGCGGGTGA